TGAAGGTTACTGGATCTAACAAAGGCTTTCCCACACTGCTTACATTCATAGGGCTTTTCTCCATTGTGAGTTTTTTCATGTGAGTAAAGGTTACTGGATGTAGCAAAGGCTTTGCCACACTGCTTACACTCATAGGGTTTCTCTCCAGTATGTGTTCTTTCATGTCTCTGAAGTTCACTGGAACTTGAAAAAACTTTTCCACACTGTTTACATTTAAATGACTTCTCTCTAGGATGTGTTCTTCTATGTCTTTGAAGGTCAGTAGAACTAGCAAAGGCTTTTCTACACTGCTTACATTCATAGGTCTTCTCTCTAGTATGTGTTCTTCCATGTATTTGAAGGTCACTGGATCTAGCAAAGGCTTTTCCACACTGCTTACATTCATAGGGCTTCTCTCCAGTATGTGTTATCTGATGTCTTCTAAATAAACTGGGGTAAGCAAAGCCTTTCCCACATACCTTACATTTGAAACGTGCATTCCCCATGTGTGTGATCCTCTGCCTTTGAAGACTTGTGTGTGAAACAAAGGTTTCACGATCTTGTTTAAATTCATAGAATTTCTCTCCATAATGAGTTCYTTCATGTCTTCTAAATAAAGAAGGAAAATGAAAGGCTTTCCCACATATGTCACATTGAAAAGATTTACCTACATTGTGTGTTCTCATGTGTCTTTGAACACGTGTGGAAGAAGATGAGTCTTCACCACATTGTTGATATTCATAGGGTTGCAACCCAGTATGAGTATCTTCATGTCTTTTAATGCCACTAGAACGACTGAAGACTTTCCCACATACTGTACTTTCGTAAGGTCCCTCTCCAGTTTGTATTAACATTTGTGTGTGAACATTTTTTAGAAGAGCCAGGGATTGCCTATATTGTTTAAATTCACGTAGCTTCTCTTCACATTCCTCGTGGTTGTAGCATTTGTGTCCAGAGTGAGATGTGATGTGCCTATGAAGTAATGAAGGGCATATGAAGTCCTTGGCACAAATATAATAACCACATGGATTTACTCTATTAAAATTTTTCTTTGTCCTGGTAAGTACTGGAATCTCATTGAAACTTTCCCCACACTATCTTCTTGGCTGTTGAAGTTTACCACATGATTCTTTGAAGAATGACCAGCACATTATCAGTGCTTGATTCATTCATGATTTTATACTTATTTATAGGACCTAGGCTTACATTACTATCAACATCAGGTAAAGGCGAGGTTTCCTGATGTGTTAAAATTGCCTCAATATCAAGAGATTGAAAGGAAACAATCCTTTGCAATGCAGCTTCCCTATGGTGATTATCCAAATAGTGATATTCACATGCAATTTCATATACTTTTGGCATGCCAAGTACTTTGAAAAGACTGAATATCTGTTACAGCTAAGTATATATTTCTGGGAAAAAATATTATAAGAATAAATATATTTCAAATTGTGCATACTTCTTGGGTTGGTCTGTTTTAAAAATTATATGACATTCTCAGATTCCCTCAAGTATTTCCCTTGTGAGCACAATTACCTTAGAATGCTCTCAAAATTTTTGATCTCATCTTCAATGTTCTTTTCATTCCATTTGTTTCCTAAAATGAGAAACCAGAACAATCTTTATGAATTTTTAGGAGACAGAATGATTTGTCAAATTGTAGGTGCCTTTTATGCTGCAATAATTCAATAACTGATTCCCTTTCTATATTGTAAATAAATGATCAAAATAAACACGACGTCTCTATGTGATTAAATAACTACACAACATTATTACCTATAGAAGCCAGGTTTCTAAGGACTTCCAGCATCACATCTCTGTAAAGGTTCTTCTGGGAAGCATCCAGCAAAGCCCACTCCTCCTGGGTGAAGTTCACAGCCACATCCTCAAAGGTCACTGAGATCTAAAATATCCCACAAATGTATAGTGGAGGCCAGGAGAGATTNCCTGGGTGAAGTTCACAGCCACATCCTCAAAGGTCACTGAGATCTAAAATATCCCACAAATGTATAGTGGAGGCCAGGAGAGATTGACAGCATGAGAAATGTATAGTCAACATGCTTGATGTCCACATGAATCTCTGAATGCCTGATTAATTGTATGATTTGGTCCATCAAATCCTTCCTGTACTCAATTCCTCACAGACATTCCAACACTAGAATTGGGCCACTCAGAAGGCAAGCAACTTAGTGTTTTACTCCCTTCCTTTGGTGAGTTCACAGGAAGTGAGACAGGCTCCTGGGTCACTCCTAACTTCTTTCTTGGTTGCACCTCTATTGCAAGTCCTAAAACCTTCTGTCCAGTGCAGAGCTGATATTAGCAACCCTGATAGTACTTACCCTTAAAAAAGAAACTGAATGAGAAGGAAATTGCTGGAATTATAAAACTCAGAGTTTAAGAGAAATTCTGCCAACCACAGTGACTCACTGAGCCTACACAGTTAATATAAACAATATGGCATTGACTGATCTCTTGATTCCTTGTGACAGTCTATTGTTCCATCTTTAAAGAAATGTCTAGAACACCCCACCCTCAACTTCCAAAAATGGATCACTAAGAAGCTTCCCCTACAGACAACATTTAGACAACTTTACACTCAGGTTGTCACAATTTGTGAACTGCGGATTGATTTCATCTTTTGTGATTACACCAAGAGAACAACTAGATGTTTGCAGATACATTTATCCAGAAAAAAAATAGTCAAATAGTAAACAAGCACAATGATTAATAAACACAAAAATTTGATGGTTTCTCATGTTAAAGCAGAATGTGGTAAGATGAAACGATGGAACATGACTCAGATATAAACCAAGGACCCAAAGATGTCACCTTGTCCAAACAACAACCTTGCAAAATTTTATAAGTCTCAGCACAATTTTATTAATGAACAACAGAAACTAATTTCTAAATCTCATAGCAACATTGAATGCACATCAAGTATCAAAAACTCTAGTGAAAAGCAGTCACTTCACTGCTATAAGTTCATGTAGCCCATAGCCTTGTACTGCTCAAGACACTTTGGTCAAGAGTGGGCCACATGTGCACTGGATGTCTGTTGTGAAAGAGTTTCCTCCTGCCTGTAATGATGGTGGTGCAAACCTCAGACAGAAGCGTTTCCAGCATGGTAAAGAAGCAGGGTTGCAACCCAGAATCCTCACCTATCTAACACAAGTTGGGTGGGAAACAAGCAACTCTATGTACAATCATAATAATACTATGATGTCTGCACTGTGATGGAGCAGCCAAAAAGATCACCAACAAGAAGGTGCTCCTGCCAATGATACACAACCGTACTCAAGGACTTAAAACATGTCACATCCTGAGCAGCACAGTACCCGCAGAGGTGAGCAAGAGACCAAGAAAAAGCCTTCAGTGGGCCAGCCTTCACAGGAGGGAAAGATGAGTGAGAGCAGGTGCTTTGGATACGGATCACATGACGGTCCAGGCAAACTGGAATACTGGTGACCAAAGGCACTACATCCTCAATTTTGTAGACAAAACTCCATTTAGTGTACATTTAAATGTGAAACACTAAAATACTTTTAATAAGCTTACAAAAAATTCCATGATATTTATTTATTTGTGGTTAGAAATATTTAGAAAAAAATAAGTAGGGATTGAACATAGGGCACTTAATGACTGAGCCACATCCCCACCACATTTGCCATTTTGACACAGTACTCAATAACTTGCTCAGGACCTTGTGAGAGGCTGAGGCCAGCATTGAAATTTATGATTCTCCTGCCACAGCTTCCCCAGCTAAGGAGAATACAGTCATGCACCATTGCACCTGTGAAAATTTAGTTTTACAAAAGAGCAAGTTATACAATTCTATACTGATGAGAATAAGGGAAAAATTAAAAACGCATAGCAAAATGACACAACAGGGAGCCTGGGACCATCTCAGTACTGCCATGAAGTAGAACAGAAATGGAAACACAAGCAGAACCATCGGAACAATGTCATCATGCCCCAAAGTCCTGAAAGGTTCCCAACAGGTACATGAAGCAGACATATAGAAGAATGCAGAGCA